CAAATATTTTGCTCTGCCCATAAATGGAACGTTGTCATCACATGCCATTATTATTCAGCTGTGAAAAGCAAACACAAAACTGCTTGCTTAATAAGAACAAATAGGCGTTGATCTTAAGCTGGCATCACTGATACGTCGCTTAGGCCTGCTTGATGAGGGATTACGGCGATAATTGGGAGAGTCGAAACGTTCATTTGCTTATACTTGTAAACCTGCGCGTTTCGTGCAGGCCTGGATGTTTTTTATGCCAATGCCAATATTTTGTACTTTCTTCACTCTATTTCTTGTGCCTTAACGACACCGTAGCTTAATGAGAAGCGCCAGACCTAGACAAAGGAATGAGGAGGAGGGGGAGATGATCAACAATACCGCAACTTTATTTCATGCCGGCAGATACGGGCAACGAGTTCAAAATTATTAACATGGTCTCTTTTATATTTCAATTTTTTTCCTTTTGAGTGGCTAGTAGAGCACTATTCTAATATCAATGCAGTCATCACGTTTTGAATCTTCACTTCGTTGCTGCCGCTCGCTAGAATATAATATTCCTTTGCTTTTAGTTGCGTGTAGTTTACCTTGAACTGGGTTATATTGTTGTATTCATTTTTCTTACATTTTTATTTATTTTCACTAAAATACCTTACTTTTTTTCTTCTTTTAGTTAGGTAGCATTTGTATTTCGTTTTAACATTTTTAAAGGTGTTTGACGAATATTTACGCCATCACGCATTTTTGTACAACAAAACGTCCATGTTTTTTATATCTTTGTAACTACTAAAAACACGCCGCAGAAAACGTAAGACTTTGTTTTAAAATTCGAAAGTTCGTATATACTGATAATGTGAATGTATGGAGGTGCGGGGGCAGGGCTAATGAGGCTGCAAGATCATGGCATAAACGAGACCCATAACGATAGTATGTAGTATAATCACGCCCCAGAACCATGATATCATTATGAAAGACGCTGTAGTGGAGGGATATGGAAATTTTGGTCATCTGGTGTTCTTTAACGTGCACTACACCGCAGAGTACGTGGACCTCTACCATTTCACCTCCATAAAAATGCGACCCTTTCGGCCAACATTGAACTCGCGACGTTCCGGTCAGCAGCCAAGCTCTGACTATTTACTATCAAAAATATTGCTACGAAATATTTTATTGGGGCATATTTCACAATTGCACTACCACTGATACTGGTACTTGTACGCGGCATCGCACCTTCACCCAATAAAGGAAGTAGCTTGGCTACTTTTTAATATTTCTCTTGACTATTGTCTATTTGTCTTGACTGTATTGACTAGTCTTTTCTTATTAAAATATTAGCAAGAGGGAAGATTTAAGCTCAAGCTTTCGCTAACACTGAAATTTTTAGCATGCCATAATGTCAGTACCACAAAATAATGGAAAGAATGATGTTGGTTTTAGATGCTTGGACAATTTCTCTGTAGTGTCCAACAACAAAGTGGTTGTTCGAGCTTGTCGGTACCCAATGATCAACTATTTGCTGCAAACATTCTTGAAAACTGACGAAAAAGGCTCGGACAGCAGCTGTCCCTGTCTGTTTCGTTAATTGTATAATTAATTTGGCGGAAGAAGTAGGCTAATTGGTTCATATAGAGGGCCACACTAAAAGAGAGACGTCACGTATTAGATGCGAAATGTAGAGAAATATCAAATAAAAATAGAAAGGTTCATAAAAAACAATATCACATGCTTCAGACAGGAAGAATAATACTGACGAAATTTCAAGGAATGGACAAAGAGAAAGATTGTTAATGGACCTATAGAAGCATCCTGGTGTTTGTTCGTTTTTTGCACTGCTTTTTGTGCTTTAAATGTGAAAATCAATTTTCTATCGATGAATACTTCAGCGACGTTCTCCAGTATTTGTTTTTCTGTTCAAAGTGCTAACTACTGCGTAGGCTATCCTTGCAAAAAACGAATGAATCTCTTAATAATTACACAGCCATGTTATTTTCCGGCTATCGTGAACACAATTTCTTTAAGCTAATCTTATTCGATAAATGCTTCTTTTAAGGAGAACAACTGAAAATAATCTTCCTTTATTCTCCTCCAGAGCCACAAAATCGATCATGCTACGTTTATAGCTTAAATATGGAACAAATAAGGAGATGCTTTGAATTAGATATCACTAACGTTGACCAACTACATATACTAAAAATCAATCTGCGCACCTCAACTCTTTCGACTGCCTGTGCTCTCATAAAAAAGATGCGATGTTGAAACATAAACATGTACGATTGACTGTATACTATTGGGTACGTGTAGGCAGCTTGTAGTGATATGCTGTATTTTAGAGGAAGTGTGTTCGAAATTTATTCAACGCTTCCTCGGTGATACACTTAAAAGAAAATTAAACTGAATAAAGTACCGAATTGTAAATCATAATACGCACGCCATAACAAACGAATGGCAGCCCGAAATTCGAGCGGATGGGTTCACTTTTTTTCCAACTCCTTTCAAGCGAAGCACTTGAGGCAGAATGATGGCTGTCATACTTCAACATTACCCTGTAGGCTTTTCTAGAAAGAGTTGAGACGGGGCGGCGTATTTGCTCTAGCAAGCTGTCTGCAGCATCTGTGGCCACTAGGCTGAGTCTCCGAAAACGAAAGCAAAGACTGGGCAGCCGTCAGGCGTCCTTTATTCACTCCTTGTTTTCAGTGCTGAAATATAACTGGTGAACGGGCAAACAAACGGATATACTACCCACGCCTCGATGCTCTCTGAGGCATAGAGCGTGAAATGTAAACATTCAAGCCGATGGAGAAAATGTTACATTGGCACGTCGAAGGAATAAATCGTCATTACATTTGCCGGTTCACTGCCTGGGGAAATCTATTTTCAACATTTTTGGGGAGATCCTGTTTATTCTTACACTAGATGGTAGTTTTGGCATAAATTTCGATGGGTGCAAAATGTGGACCCTATGCAGAGCCATTCTATCACTCCTTGGCCAATGTGGGCATCGCAGTAGGAACGAAACGTATTTCGAAAAGTCTGGCCACGTGATCGCGTACACAGGGTAAACTGTGCAGTGAGTGAAATAAGCGTAAAGTAGGCAGAAAAATATTGCCCGTTAGCAAGCCACTCGAAGAAGAAACACACAAATACAGCCTACTAAAACACTGTCCTAGAAAGCGTGCAAACTGATACATGAATGACCTTTCATTTGAGCTTCTGGCACAAACAAACAGGAAGCAAACCTTATGGCATGAAAAAAGCAGGGTAGTGTTTGAATACGCCACTATCTCTAAACGTCTACATTGATGAAAATCTCATTGAAACAACATATAAACAACATAATCTTGTGCCTAATTTTAATGGAAATATTTCCATAATTCAGACCTTTTGTGACGTGAAAAAAGCAGCCATAACGTGTTGTTTTTAGTCACCTATAACATTTTGACTTGGAGCTTCATATTTCGGTAGTCAAATGCATTTTTTAGTAAAGGATTCGTTAAGGTGTCAATAGTTCTCGATTTTGCATCGCGTTATTTTTTAATTTTGAGGCGTGAACAACAGTGTCTTGGTATGGATATTTTTCGAAATTTGCACCAATGGGATAGAACTTTTTGGTATGTTTATCATGTGCCGTCTGTTTTATAGGCTTTCATATCCTCATTTTACGCCGAAAATCTGAGAAATATGTTGTTATTTTCTTTGTCAAGTACGGTTGTGGCATTTGGGCCGTAACCCTCTGAAGCTTCTTGATTGAATTTCTATGCGAGTGCGTGCAATACTAGTAGCTTTTTATGTAGTCCGCCACGTTTCTAAGTTGAATCTAGGGTGATAGTTAAAAAATCCGTGAACAGAGTTTGTGTGCTCGTGTGGACGTTTCGACAAGTTACCATTTTTCTTCAAGACTTGGGGAACATTGAGGAACACAAGCCCACTTGTCGAAACAACGGAACGAACACAAGAGTCCTTGTTTACAGATTTCCTTTTCCACTAAATCAGGACATTCACGAGAAATCAGCGTGGCCTGCCTCGAGCTTTGTACAACGCAGTGAAATGCACGACGGCCGTTGAGATAATACAATAAACGGCTTCTCCGAGGTCGTTAGGTGAATTACCACAATATCGACACATTCACATACCGAATAATTTACTTCAATTTGAAGGTATATAAAACAAAACCACAAGAGACAAATCGCACAAATTCACCGGGAAGCACAAAACTAGCTCGCAAAGCAATACCTTAAAGTTTAAATAACTTTAAAGAATAGGTCGTTCATCTGTAAGCAGAAAGCAGTCTACAACTTTAGCAAAGCAATAGCTGAACCTTAAACATTTTGCGAGCGTCGATATAAGCCACTTCCGTTTCCATTATTAAACAACCGCTCCAAGAAATGCAGACACTGGTGTGTTTATTACGCGTAACAGATGTACCGATGTAGCTTGACACCTCAAATAAGACAAAACCCTGTCCTTCGTTTCTATCTATATACTGTAAGGATCAACTAGCATATTTTCATTGGAATAACTTTTCTGCTTTCTTTGAAATGAATATGGCACGGGAGAATACACGACCCAAAAATGTTTCCTTTTTTGAGTTTTGCATTGCGCTGTTATTATATAAATGCAATGGCCTAATTTATTAGTCAGTCTATGCAGTCCAGTTTTTATTCCAAGCGAATTATGTGCATCGTTTGTTGTTAAACTAACTATTTGCAGCCTCCTTCCTTCTTTTTTCTTATGAAAAGAACTTCAATGTTAATCAGTTCACATCCACCTCGGTGGTCTTGTGTTTATGGTGCTCGAGTGCTGACGCGAAGGTTGCCAGATGAAACGCCAGCAATGGCGACCACGTTTACATGAGAGAGGAGTGGTAGGGGTCTTTGTGCTTCAATATGTATGCATGGTAAAACACTCAAGATAGACAAAGTTCATGGAATTCCTTCGCTACGGCGTTCCTGATACTGACAATGTGATCTTTGAACGTAAAGCCCCAACAATTATTATGGTTGTTTTGTTCACAGGAGTCGTGTACGACCATGCCGGCTCATCTGAAGAAGAGAAGCTCCTGTGGCAAATGCTCGACCGAGTCAACCTGAACGCCAGTGACGGTGGAGAGAAGCCAACGTCAATGGCTGGTAACACAGGCACCCACGCGTTGGCCGACTCTTCTAGCAGAGCACTACACCTAAGCCTAGCCATTGAAAGACTCGATCCGGAAGACACCTTCAAATCGGCAAAGAAAGGTGAATGCCCGTAGCATCCCTAAGTTTACCGCAATAATAGTCTCAATAGAATGCCACTAGTTTTAACATACATTGATGTTTAAATTTCAAAAGAGGCGTGTCGAATGAACCAATAGCGATGAAGGAAGTGAAAGCACAGTCGCATATACGTTCTCTACGTGCAGATAATTTTACTAAGACGGAATAAATATTAGATTTGTACGCAACCTTCATGTATGCACGTCAATATCTGCGCGCCACGTGATGGATCAATTGTGCGCGTCCATATGTGCACTGTTAACTGCACTCTTATGGTATGTCTCATGCAAGGAGCGTCATAAAGCTTACCATTTGAACATACAATTCATTGCGTTCCTATTGCTGGCAAACATTTTGCTTTTGGTTAAAATTTAGACAAAAGAAACGTACATGTTTGTCTATAACAAATCTGCGAAGTGAAAGAAAGTTATAGTGCAATTAACTTAAAAATTTCGCATAGATAAGTACTTTTGCGAGCTTCCCAGCTGTGCTCGAAATGTTGTACTTAAAAACCTATATTTTTAGAACTGTGGCCACGATTATATTGCGTAAAAGAAAGACCTGATGCAAACATCACTTCATTTCTTCTTCGGAAGTTAATGAGGAAAAATACTTTGAGATTGATATCTCCGCCTACTCGCATAGAACACTCGGAACTCCATGGCACACAATTAGTATTTTTTTTATTTTTTTCAGTTGGCGTCATTAGCAATGTTGCGAGAAAATATTCTTTCATTGCAATAATGAGCAAAGTTAGCCTGACTCAACCAGAAAAAATGCGAGAAATTCAAGTGCTTGTTGGTGTCGTGGGACAAAGTGCTATGCATTTCTAATGAAAATAAAGAAATTTTCAAATTTATTTTTACTTCAACACTGTATACGTCAATAGAATGGCGTGATATTTTGAGGGGTGTTGGTTGAAGTTGCATGATTTAAGATTTTTATACTTAGAGGGCATGATTGAAGGGCTCTTTAACCATTGCGAGTTCAAGGGCGAAACAGCTGTGTCGTTCTCGGCTTTACTTTCCTTCCTACAACCACTGCATCTCCTCGCCACTTATTTCTTATAAAACACGAGGAATGTCAGCACTAAGTGTTTAACGAGTTCTGATTTCACGCACTTCGACCACACGCTGCTGTCTGTGCTTGCGCAATCGCAAACGCACAACACGAAGTGAAATCAGTTCATCGCGCGCTATAGTCATGCAAGACAAAGAAGAACGAGCATGTGACTTCTTCGTAGAGAATTGTATGAAACAATTAACAGCAGATATATCTCCTATATTGAACGATTGAGAGATTATTTCACGCTGACGTCACGTGATCAAGCTGCAAAGGTCGCGAACTGTGCCGCGAGAAAGAGAAAATACAGAGAAAATAAGAAGCTGGTTTATTATTTTTTTTTCAGGGGCTATTTAGAGGTCTCGTAATATAGTCTCAGAACAAAATTAAGGGTATATCTCACTGCGTACTTCAAATGTTCTCTGTGTTGACGCATGAAGTTTTCAGTGCATTTATTATGACTACAGAAATGAAACAAGCGTAAGCGTTTACAGTGTAGTTCACCATCTTTCCTTGGGCATACTAATATTTGTAATCGTCGTCGTCGTATTTCCTCGCCATGTATTTGGTTTTCGGCTCGTGAGCTTGTGCTTACAGCAATCGTTTTGTCATACCTGACATCGTCTCACAAGTGGTGGAGGTGGTGGGATGGTATGTAGCGGCTGTAAGTTCGAAATGGCGAAAAATATCTCGGACGTGAGGCGTCGGTTCAGGGTCCAGAAAGCAGCTTGTCAAATGGAATTATTCCTACGGTGTACGCAAATAATTTTCCGTACTAAATATAAGGAAGCTGCTAGCCAGTCGAATGGATTTAAACATGTGTATCGTATATAGCCATCCACTCTTTCCGAGAACTTGAGCAACATCTCTCTATCAGGGCCTATTCGTAAAGTTCACCGCCTAGAGAGGGCGCTGGTGCAAGCCCAACATGGCTGTCGTTTGGGGGATTGTGCAGCCGGTGTGCCTGCAGCCGCCACTGGTATGCCCGTCACTTCGACCTGTGTAGTATTTTGGCAGCAGCCACCGTGTTGTCACGGCTTTGCTGAGAAGGTCATTGACTCTAGCATCTATTATATCCCACACTGCGTGTTGAGAAACGCATGTGCGGCGTATATTGAAGGAAAAGAAGTTTCGGACGCCGGGCAGATCGTCTGCTGTGATGTACAGCTTTGTGAACGCTGCTCATGCCATGGCCGGAGAAGACCAAGCGGCTGCGCTCGTGCAAGGCAGGAAACCTCGCCTTTGACTGCATGGCGTCTGCACAGCGGCCTCCGACATATTTTGTGATTCTTCTAGCTCAGCAAGCAAACAATAAAGAATAAATCATTGCTACTACGACTCGCAGCAACTGTCTGACTTTACAATAACCGTAGTAGAAATTGCCAGTGAAAAATTATAAAGCACCAGCGAGCCGCCAAAGTGAGGCCGACTGAATGATGGCATGGGCTGGCTGCCTAGGCATCCCCAAAACGACAGTTACGGCGGATGCCGCATGAGGACGCCACCATCTGTGAAAGTTGCCAGTAGGTAGACCGTGACGCAAAGGGCCCCTTGTTAACACTTCTCAGGGCAGCAAAAGAACACTTCCCTTGGGGAATGTTTTGTAAGCATTCTATGTCAAACGCGAGAGAGATCAACCAGAAAGACGCGAGAGAGCAAGCAGCCAGTAGGTGAGCTGAGAGAATGCAGATATGCTTTCAACGCCTTAGGACATATACAAATTATACCGCTCAACATGAATATTGACAGAAATTGCTTTCAAAGTTTCAGATTGCAGAGCGGGATGACCTTAATAATTTGTGTTGATCTGTTGAGTGTACGCTGCTGTCACAATTTGGTGAGTATTTCGGTGTTTTTCGGCATCGGTAGCACGGATTGGAGTAAGGTAGGCGCGAAACAGAGCTAAATTTATTATCTACATTCAAGCGCTTACGTTCCAATAAAATTCATGTGATCCAAGAGACCCTTTTTATCCGTACTAGAGATATAACGGTGCCTCGACCCGTTCTATGCACATTCTATGGCTATTCTCATGCTTTGGCAGTCATATTGGCCTCAAATAATACCATTTGTCTCCTTTTTATCCCTCTGTTTCATACCACCCCCTCAGCGGAACGCTTACAAAATACCTCCCCTGCTTTCTCGACACAATTCCCCCTTCATAGGTACCTGAGCACCGGGCTGATTCTGCGGTTTCCTTTTTAGAGATTCAAGTGGGTCCTCATATAGACTTATTCATTGTTTGTAAACAGCGGTAGGCACCATCGACTTATTGAGGCAATTGTAGTGACGCCTGGACGTGTAGGGTCCGCCAAGCTCGATGCTCGTAGTGGTCACGAGACTAATGCATGACACAGCAGCTCCAAAGCTGCCTCTGAACTCGGATCCAGCTTTGCAGCTTGGCGACATTCTGAGGCGTTTGTAGCACAACCTTACCAGCTGCTCAGTATGTCGCCGGCACCTAGTGCATTTACAAATTAGGTCTTATGGAAAGAAAGAAAACAGTGCATTGAAGGACGTTCACCTGAGGCTTCGAAAGTGCCTGTGGGCTGTTTCCGGCAGCTGTTACTCGAAAAAAACAATTTAAACTATCTGCCGCTGAATAAAATTATGTGTAAATGCGTACCACCGGAAGGGAATGCTTACACTGGCGGCGACGTTGACACTGGCGCTCATTGCGGCATCGCGCACAAGAGTGACGTAGGGAGGCGCAAAACACGCAGTGATGGACTAGTGTTTCCTACTGAAACATTCCAATTGCTGACAATGTGCTTTGAGAGACAGAAGACTCGGATTGGACACGAAGACCCGCTTTTCACTATTATTCAACTCGAACGCTGCAAACTTTCATTGTTCAGCTAATCAGAGCAGAAATTTATCATCGTACATTGAAGATCAAGATGCAGTGCCTATGTATACGGCGTGATGCGTGAACTGTTGTGGAGCGCGAACAGCCAGTTTTTTTTTTCAATCAAGAAACTCGCTAGCAGACGCTGCCTTTGTCAGCTTTGCGTTTCAAGAGAGGGGAGAGCGTAGGAGAGGATGTAGAGGATGATGCAGGGGACGCACAGGCGCCAGGACGTGTAATCGCCGCGGCGAAGAATGCCAAGAGAAGAAAACGAGGCAGTACGCGTTGGCTAGCAGATGCTCCCACGCGTCGGCATCGTGAGGCGGAAGATGTAGAAGCGTAGGAGAGCAGAGAAAGAAAGAGAGACGCACATGCGCAAGTGGGGTAGTCACGCAGCACACCGGGTCAAGCTCGACCCTGAGCTACTTCCCATCTAAAATGTGTGGTGATGAAATGAAAAATACAACGCGCTTCCACTATATTAGCGTTTAGCGGCGGTGTCTTTTTGCATCTGTTGTGGTAGTTCTGCATACCTCTACAAAAGTATTCTCGGAACAACGAAGGACACCGAAAGAGGTTTTCGTGGGCACACTTGTGAAAAAAGTTTCGCTCTGAAACTTTGAGCAGAGAAAAATGAGAGGTTGGTATACTGATTAAACAGGCTGGGCCACCTGACAACGCTGTCTTTCTAAGAGTGCGTTGAGCGAAAGGTTGCCTGCAGGTAGGTTTAGTCCATGTTAGTAGTGTAGCGTTTGTTCCTTCTCTTGTTCTATTTTGCTTCCCCTTGAAGCTAACAGACACTTAAAATAGTCTACACGAAAAGTGCCAGCATTTTTTTTATCCGGAGAATTTTTTAGTCTCACGATGTCGCACTTTGGCGTCGGTGGCGCCATCTGCACCACCACTGCGCATGCTCGCGTCTCGCGTCTCGGAGAACTTTAAGGAGCTCCGAGAGGAGGAGCACATTTGAAGTTCAGGCCTGGTTGCCGTTCTGCGCGTGGCGTTACAATTTGTTGCAATCATTCTTTCGCCTTTTCGATAAAAAAATGCGAAGAAATGCTCAACCACTTCC